TTTTTTTTTTTAACATATAATGTATTATTTGTTTCAGAGGTACAGGTCTGTGATTCAACAGTCTTACACAATTCACAGCGCTCACCATTAGATGGGTATTAAGGAGGGCACTCGTAATGAGCACTGGGTGTTAAAATGCAACTAGTTTGCAATTTTTCACATGTGGAAATAGTTTCACAGAACTAGGCTTATAGCACCCATGAGACTTACCATTAAGTGGCAGTGTCTTCACTAAATTCAAACGTTCATTAGGTGTGAGCTCAATCCCCAAGTTTTCCAAAATACTTTCAAGTTTATTAGCATCAACTTTACCTCCTTTGAAAGAAAAATGAATTACTGACGCATGGCAATTTTAGGACATTATAATGATCCAAAATAATGAAAAATCTGGTTTAAAGAATGCCATCCTAACTTTCATACTCTCACATATTCCAATAATGTTTAAGGATAATGAGGCAGAACCTATTCCTTGATTCTTCATAAAGAGTGGTCTCCTAAGACTAATGGCAAGATACCATAGAAGAAAATCAGGTTATATATAATTGGCCAGTAATTTAGGATATCTAGTCTTTTTTACTTTTTAATACTGAATCATGTGATTATTATTTAAAGCAATCCTATCAACTTAATTTTCTAAAAATATTCCTCTTCCTATATTCTTTGCCTACCTACATTTGGTTATTTAAGCCAGCAGTTATTAACTCAAGCTTGTAGGAACCTGGAGGTAGAAGAAATGAGTGAAACTAGCTGTGGTGAACTAGACAGCACATGCCTTGTCCAAAGAGAAAATACACCAGTTACTGTCGTGAGGGAATATAGGGCCAGTGTTGCCAGATTTTACAAAACTTGACTGCAGGTTGGACTCAATTCATGGGTGGCCAATTTGTTAAAGCTCTGATTTAAACACTGGTTAAGATCAGTATAATACTGGCAGAAACTACAGAAAATATAATTTATTACTTAAGCATCACCACTTATTTACTTATTTTTTGAAGATTTTATTTATTTACTTGAGAGAGAGAGTGTGTGTGAGAGAGAGAGAGCACGAGTGGGGAGGAGGGGCAGAGGGAGAGGGAGAAGCAGACTCCCTGCCGAGCAGGGAGCCCAATGTCGTGCTCCATCCCAGGACCCCGGGATCATGACCTGAGCTAAAGGCAGATGCTCAACTGACTGAGCCACCCAGGCACCCTTCACTACTGATTTTTATAGCCAAATCCTAGATAATTCAAAATCAAAGGAAGAAGTAAAGTTGAATATAAATATTTCATTAAAAATATGTAAAATATCAACATTAATAAATTTATGATATAATATCAGGAAAACACTATGCAAGATTTAACATAGGGTTAGAATTTAATTCAAAATGTCTTAGTAATGTCTTACTCACCCGAAAAAGATTTTACTTCATTCATCAGCTTTTCTAGATCAACCTTACCTTTAACTGTAAGACAAGGAATAAATTGGATAGAAACATGACAATGAGACCAAGAAAGTATGTTGCATTGAGCAGAAAAACTTAGTAGTATTTATTTGCTCTAAAAAATTTAACCTTTTGCAGGTACATACTTTCAGTTATAAAGTAAGTCATGGGGATGTAATATACAGTATGATGACTATAGTTAATATTAATAATATTTGAAAGTTGCTAAAGAGAGTAGATCTTAAAAGTTCTCATCACAACAATGTAACTGTGTATAGTGATGGGTGTTAACTGTGGTGATCATTTTGAGAGACATATATATACATATATATATTGCAGTATATATAAATACTGAATCATTTATGTTATATATCTGAACTAATATAATGTTCCATGTCAATTATAACCTCAATATAAAAAGTTATACCTCAGTATACAAAATAGAAGCTGGTTTTATACTATACACATACACACACACACACACACACGAAAACTTAACCTTTTGCTACATCCTTCATAAGAAGGTAGAAGAAGGATGACAGCTTGAATGATAATAAGCATAATTATTTCCTGAACACAATTAATATTCCAGCAGTTCCAATGTATTGTGCTCAGGGAAGAAAAGTGGCTAATTCTTATCATTTACTTTCTGAAAACAGAAGTGCTTTTTCTCCCCCAGCAAAATAATACTCCATGTTGATGAGAAAAATCTAGCTTTAACCCAGGAAACATGGTATAAAATGTAGTTAATCATAAATTCAACACACTTGTTTTTGAGTACCAGCAGAATGGCCAGAAAAGTGTATCAATTACCAATAATGTTGCTAATTCTGTGGTGAGAATTTCCTTATTCTTTGTCTATTAAAGTATTCCTGGCCACTAATAACTTCGATACCAACTACAGGTCAGGGCAAAATGGAAAATGTGTGTTGGTTTACCTGGACTATTTTAGTTAACCAAGTCTATCATGAAAAAGAGATGGGATCCTTGGAGGGGATTAGAATTTTTAGGCCTGTCTTTGTACATGGGTCACTATGGTTGTCTGTTCATACTCTTCTTTGTCCATCTGGTTTATTCCTGGGAAAATTCTTTTTTTTTTTTTTGTAGTTTCCATTTTTTTTATTATGTTCAGTTGGCCAAAATATAGTTTTTGATGTAGTGTTCAGTGATTCGTTAGTTGCGTATAACACCACACGTGCCCTCCTTAATACCCATCACCTGGTTACCCCATCCCCCCACCCCCTCCCTCCCTTCTGTAACCCTCAGTTTGGTTCCCAGATTCCAAAGTCTCTCATGGTTTGTCTCCTTCTCTGATTTCTTCCCATTCAGTTCTCCCTCCCTTCCCCTGTGGTCCTCCTCACTATTCCTTATGTTCCACATATGAGTGAAACCAAATGTATGGTAATTGTCTTTCTCTGCTTGACTTATTTCACTTAGCATAATCCCCTCCAGCTCCATGTTGATGCAAATGGTGGGTATTCATCCTTTCTGATGGCTGAGTAATATTCCGTTGCATATATGAATCACATCATTCTGACCCAAGATGAAAGGGCTCTCTGCCATAGGCCATCTAACTGGGGTGAGTTCTCTTTCATTAAAATATTCCAAGTTCATCTCAGCTGAGGAGGAATCTACTAGTAGGAATTAAGACATCTGTGTGACAAGGGAAATTTGTTTAAACCAAAGTTGATCATTTTCCTTTACTTATAATGTTATTCTTACTCTTTTGCATTTACTTTAATAAACATTTAGAAAGGCTTTCGTGAACATGGAGACCGGAGCATGGCTCCAGTCCCTTTTACTACCATCTCAAAGCTGTTTCCCTTTTGAAATTCAAATTTGATGGTTTTTCTAGGCTGCTGGGGCTATGTCAACACTTGGGCTCTGGTTGTGTCCTGGAGCCCAAGAATGGGCATGGGGTTCTTTCCGCCCTCAACGAGGGAAGCACCGGAGAGGTGTCAGAGCACAGGAACAGAACTGGAAAGCAGCAGATCATGGGAAATGCTTGGCATTTAGAATCCTGAAGACCCTAATGAAGCTCAATTAAGGCCAGTATGGGGCATTCCAATTCCTCTCACTCCTAAAAGACCAAGAAGGAATAAAACAGGTGGGCAGAAACATTTATTTTCCTGAGGCAGTTAAAATACAGAGATGCCAGAACAGATGCTACCTTCTTTTCTGTAAGCTTGAAAACGATCTGTTATGTTATAGAATATGTAATATTAAGTGCTAAATAAAGAATCTTGAAATAGAAGGGAAATTATGTAAGAGAAATTTTAGGAGTTGTTTGTGAGAATTGAAAATGTATAGTTGAGGAAGTAAAGACATTCCAAAGATCTCATGGTGGGGAGTAGGGGAAATGGTGGGAGGAATAAGAGTATTCTAAAAGTTTCTGCTTATTGAGATTGTGGGGGTGGGGAGTGGGAGGAAGGGATAAAGCTGAATTGAAATATCTGATGGGGGGCGCCTGGGTGGCTCAGTTGGTTAAGCGACTGCCTTCGGCTCAGGTCATGATCCCAGAGTCCCTGGATCGAGTCCCGCATCGGGCTCCCTGCTCGTCAGGGAGTCTGCTTCTCCCTCTGACCCTCCCCCCTCTCATGTGCTCTCTCTCATTCTGTCTCTCACAAATAAATAAATAAAATCTTAAAAAAAAAAAAAAAGAAATATCTGATGGGTAAAAGTATCTTGATGGAGAATAAAGCAGTATTTTGTTACCAGTAATAATTAAGTTATAGGTAAGTATGACAATGAATGAGAAGAAAAGAAATGCAAGAATTAATGAAATGTGACCCTCCTAGGAAGAAAACAAATATAATGAATGACAACTTAAACCAGTAATAATAAGCACAAGAAAAAAAGAGAAAACAATAGTAGAAAATGAATAATAAATATAAAATGAGATAAAATAAATGCATATGTCCAGTATTACACCAAATCTGAACAAACTGAAATTTCTCATTAAAAGAAGAAAGATTATCAGATGGGTTCCTTAAAAACCCAGCTATATGATGATTTCACAAAATATATTTCCCACCAAATGATAAAGAAGATTGAAAATAAAGGCGTGGGCAAAGATATATGAGGCATATACAAGCAAAAAGAAACCAGTACTGGCAATTGTTAGTATCAAAGTAAAACTTAAGAGTCAAATCAACAAAGAGATGTAGATAAAGAGGGACATCAAAAGGTATAGTTTATGAATATTGTAACAGTCATAAACCTATAAAGCAAAACTATTAGTCATTTAAGAAAATTTTTTTAAGATTTATTTATTTATTTGAGAGAGTGGGGGGGAGGGGCAGAGGGAGAGAGAATCTCAAGCAGACTCCCTGCTGAGCATGGAGCCTGAGGTGGGGCTTGATCCCAGGACCCTGAGAACATGACCTGAGCTGAAATCAAGAGTCAGACACCCAACCGACTGGACCACCCAGGTGCCCCAAGAAGAATCTTATAAAAATTCAATTAAAGTAGGAGATCTTAACCCTCTTAATAGAAGATCTATTTTGTAGACAAAATAGAGGTAAAGACACAAAGGAATTGAATAATACTACTGATAAACTTGATTTCATAATATATATATAGAGAAGTCTATGTGCCCTCTCTAGAGACTATAAATTATTTTTATATGCCTACAGATTTACAAAAATTAGTAAAGTACATGGCCATAATGAAAATTTTAACAAAACAGAGATTCTTTTTAACATCTCAGTGGCCACATTATCTGATAGAACTCCAAAGTTTATATATAATAAAAACTTAAAAGACTTAAAAAGAAAGTAAGAGATATACTTATAGATACTAGATAATCTTTGTATCAATTATAAGTTGGTAGAAAGTAATGATCAGGAAAACTCTTCATATCGAAACCAAAAGGACGTAGTGAAGCTGCACTCAGAAGAAAATGTATGGCCTTAAACTCCTTCATTTAATAATGAAGCAGAAAGACAAAAAGAAACTAAGTACTCCTAGCAGGCAGGTATGAAAGAGAAACAATCATTCTCCAAGTGGTTGGACAAACAATCAGATAACAAGTGGGCAAACAATTTGAACAGATACTTTATTAAAGAAGTATAAATGGCTAATAAGCACTTGAAAAAGTACTCAATATCATTAGTCATCAGGGAAATGTAAATCAAGGCCATATTGAGATAGCACCACACACTAACCAGAAGGACTAAAATTAAAAATAACGATAATAACAAATGTTGGTGAGGAGCTGAGCTAAGAGAATCTTCAGACATTGTTGGTGGGAGTATAAGATGGTACATTCACTTTGGAAAAGTATCTAACAGATTCTTATAAAACTAAAGACATATTTACCCTAGGATGCAGCACTTCTACCCAAAAGAATAGTAAACACATGTTCAAAAATATCTCAGACAAAAAAAGTCTCATACAAGAATGTTCATAGCAGTTTTATTCATGATAGTGAAAAGCTAGAAAAAGCATAGGCCCAATAATAGTAGAAGTGATAAACATATTTTTCAAGGATGGCTGAGCTATATATTTCCCATCCCACATGATCTTATTACAATGTGACTGATACAACTTCCACCAAGAGCTTAGACTGAGTCTGGGCAGGGTCTTGTGATTGCTTCAATAACAGCATTTGGTGGAAATGGTGCTCTGTGACTTCATCCTAGTTACAGATTCAGAGAAGAACTGTTCTAAATTGTCTGTAATAGACTTTTCTTTCTTTTTTTTTTTTTTTAAGATTTATTTATTTATTTATTTGACAGAGAGAGACACAGCAAGAGAGGGAACACAAGCAG